TGGACGCCAGGCCAGCTGAGGAGCCGGTGGTGCCATGCACGCCACCCCACTGCCCCGATCACTTTGGGGTACCTCCTCCTGTTCTTCTCTTGGCATCTTGGAAAGGTCTAGGTATGAATGTGGAGGGAGGAAAAGCTCTGACAAGGAAGGCCTGGTTGGAGATTTGTGGGGGGCAGGATGAGGCGGGGTGAGGGGGGTGGTTGGCCAAATTTGTCCTCACACATGTGAGGGGCCGTACCACACTCAGCCCTCCTCCCTTGGGGCAATGGGAGGAGAACTAACGTCTCCATGCTGGTCAAATTATTTTCCAAGGACAGGCTGTTGAGCTATTGCTTCCTGTCTGATTCTTAGGCTGATAGGAGGGACTGAAGGAGCAAACACAGTAGTGTCTCCCTTCACTTGTTAAGGGAGGTCAGCAGGCATTGGTGTTTAAGTTCTGGCTCTCTTTTACATTTCAGGGACAAAAGCCACTTTGGGACTCATTTGGGAGAGTAGGCCCACTGTGAGTGGTTGACCTGGAGGGGACTTTGTTTGAAGAGGCCACCACTTGGGAGAGGGAAGGAGGGGGACAACCCAGCTTGGGGAGCAGGGGGCCTAGTGTTGGCCGGGGAGGGGTGGGTATCTGCAGGATGAGGGCCTTGCCTGAAGGTCTGGGCCTGTGGTAAATGGACAGGACAACTGAGGCCAGCAGGCTGATGGTGGAGAGTGGCAGCCCTGTGGCTAGGCCTGTGTCCTGTTGCCACCAGGCCATATCCTGATTTTGCCCACTGAAGAGACCGCCATGGACCTCTCTCACTAGCAGACTGGGACCGAGTTCTGGTGTGACCCTGGTCATGCGCTGGGTAACTGAGTGCATTCAGGGAGCCTCAAGCAGCCAAGACCTTCTCTGGAACCACAAAGGGCTGCTCTGAATCCTTGACTATGCACAGAGTGTAGAGACCCCATCTTGCTGGTATGTGTGTCAGGACACACTGAGCCTAGGAATTCGTAGGAGCCCTAGTGCTTAGATATCGTAGGAGCCTTAGTGCTTAGACATCTCAGCTCTGTTGACCCAGTGTGGGCATCCAGTTATTAAAAGCTCAATCCTGTGAGAACCAGGGCTCAGAGGAATGCAGAAGTGACCGGACTGGGAGAGGTGTCACTCAGAGATGGACCTGCCATCCATCTTCAGTTGTTCTAGAAATGGTCAGCAGACAGAGGCCAGGCAAAGGGCCTCCATCCCAGTCCACACCAGGGAGTGGGGCAGGGGGCTTCCGGGGCAGGTCTGGCAGAGAGGAGCACATGCTCTCCCCAGGATTTAGGATCAGGGAGCAGGGTTTGGTGTTCAGAAGCACCCATGGATTGGCGCTTCGGCTCTCTTCCTTCCCGGCTGTGTGAGGTGGGCTCGCTGCCCTGCTGTTTCCTGGTCCTTGGTAAAGTGAGCTGATGCCACATAGTGACTTGAAATGGAGTGATGCCCGTTGTGTATCGAACCCAGTTCCTGGAGCACAGATAGGCTTCATAAACGTCAGCTCCCTTGGTCTCCATCCGCGTGAACTGGGGTGCACGGTGAAGCTGATCTTGAGAAAGAAGTCTAGAGCTCCGCCATCAGAACCAGGAATCTGGAGGGGGGGACCGCCTGCTTCCTTAGGGGCCATTCCCCCAAGGCCAGGCAGCCACAAGGAACCAGGATCCAGGAATACCTCTGGAAGGGGAATGGGTCCATCTTACTGGACTTCCCTTCTTTCCCCACCCACCTATTTCCCACCTTACTTACCTTTGCCTTCCACAGGTGTCCCTGCCTTCCAAGCATCTGGACAAGTTTCCTGGCCTCTGACCTCTCTTCCTCCCAGGCGCTGGCCCTAGATGCCAATGCACAGCAGCTCCTGCAGGTCCTGGCCTGCCTGGGGAGAGGGGTCTGGCAGGAAGAAGGTCAGCGGCCTGGCAAGGCTGACTCGAAACTGAGCCAGTAGCCCGGGGCTCCCTAAATTCCTTCTGACTGCAGTAGGCTGGTCCCAGAGCCTAAGGTGGGGCTGTGCTCATGAGCTGTGCCAAGAGCCCCAGCAGTCAGGGTGGGGAACAGGGCAGGTCCTTGCTCAGCCCTTGGATAAACAGGGAGCTGTTTCTAGGAGGATTTCACCTTGCAGACTTTCTGGGTGCCTCGTGGCGTTACGCTTAGGACCGGGTCTTCATGTCCAGGGCATTAATGAGTTGGTGTTAGTTTTGTCGCAGTTGCTGACGTTTCCTGAGTGCTTTACTTTGTGTAGAGCACTTTTCTTTGTGCTGGTTTAAGGTCAAACAACCCTAGATAGACAGTTATTGTCTCCAGTATACAGAGGACAACGCAGAGACACAGAGAGGTTAAGAATCGTGCCCAGGGCCACTAACTAGGAGACAGTCAGGCTCACCTTTGCAAGTCAACTCCTTGAACTCAGCAGGTGCTTAATAAATGTCTGGTAGTGACTGATTGCGCTCCCACTCTTGCTCACCAGTGCATTTGTTTTGGGGTGGCTGTTCAAGATCAGTGGTGTTGACTGTACCCTTGGGCAGGGTGAGGGCTCTGCCTCTGTGGGGACCCCGAGTCGGCCCCCGCTTCCCCCCTCCGGTGCCTGGTCTGAGACCCATTGCCGACCCCGAGGTGTGGCCAGGCTTGAAGGGAGCGGCTGCCTGCCCCACCTGGGAAGGCATTTTGCCTCTGGAATCAAACACTCGGCGGTAGTAGCCCAGTAATTAACTTCTTGATGGAATGTGATAGGTTCAACTCCCCAGAGTGTAATATCAGCTGGAAAAAGAAAGTGGTAAACACCAATCTCATCTCTGCTGGGTACGTGACATTCTGGGTTGAACCATCCTGTTGCTACATGCTGGGGAGCTGGGGATAGCTTCAGTCTTGGAGATGTTTGCCACCTCCATCGTATCTTTTCATCTTCAGAGAATGTGGCTGGCCAACCAGGAAATGCTGCCTATTTCATCTTTGTGAGGTCCTTAGCTCGCCTCCTCCACCACCGCCACGATCTACATTGTGTCCTGGCCCTGAGCTGGCAACTGTCCCCCCCACAGCCACCCCGTGGGATGGTGATGGGAGCAAGGGCTCTGGGACCAGAGCTCTGAGTTGGCATCTCAGCTCCAGCACCAACCCCCGGGGTGTATCAGTTACCGCCAATTGGGTAGTTTAGAATAACAGCTATTTATTGTCCCGGTTCTGGGTGCTAGAAGTCCCAGATCAAGGTGTCGGCAGGGCCACGCTACCTCTGATGGCTTTAGGGGAGGGTCCTTCCTTGCCTTTTCCGGCTTCTGCTGCTGCCAGCCATCATTAGGGTCACTTGGCTTGTAGATGCATCACATGGCTGTCTTCTCCTTGTGTGTGTCTCTGTGTCCAGATTTCTCCTTTTTATAAGGACACCAATCATATTGGAGAGGGCCCACCCCAACAACCTCATTTTAACTTGATTGCCTCTGTAAAGACCTGATTTTCAACTAAGGTAACATTCTGATGTCCTGGGGGTTGGAACCCCAGCATACCTTCTTTTGTTGTTGGAGGGAGACACATTCCCCCCATAACACTGTGTTACCTTTGACAAGTTACTAATGTCTGTATGCCTCAGTTTCTTTATTTGCAAAATGGGGCTGCCAATACACCCTAATACTTACCTCCTCAGGCTGTTGGGTTGATGACGGAAGTGGATATGGGAATGAAGTGCTTGGGACTGAGGCAGGCCCTTAGTGACTGCTCTGTGAGTCGGAGCATCTGTTACCGGGGCTCTCTTCTTACAGTTGTGGAAATGCAGACCCTGGAGGTTAGCACGCTTGCCGGGGGTCTGAGGCTGGGTGACGAACCTAAGTCTGCCGGAACCAGAGATGTCTCTGGGATCGGCCCCCCGAGACCAGCATTCTGCTGGGTGGCCCTTGCCACCAAAGGAAGGAAGCCAATTGCACCCAGAGAGCACAGAGCCTAGTCTGGAAAATGTTTTCTCCATCTCCTTTTTAAAGCATTATAGTCTAAGGCAGCAAGGCTCCAGCAGCACTCAAGTACCCATGGCGGGGTGGGAGTTGGTAGGGGATGGCTTCTGCCCTCAGTCTTCAGCTTGGGTGACATCCTATCATAAATCCCTTCCTCATCTACGAAGGGAGAGGGTGGCCCGGGGTGGCCCTGAGCCTCTTCTTACTCTGACAATCGGTGCATCTGTGGATCTCCAAGTATGAGAACCAAACACATGATGGTGTAAGCTCCTGTAATCATTTCCTTAATTCCACTAGCATTTAGCCTCAAATGGCCCCAAAGCCCTTTGGGGCTTGTTAGAGTGGGCCCAGCTGGCTCCTTCTGTCTTTCAGGATCCAAAGGAGCCAGAGCCTGGGGCCAGGGAGCGCTTGGGGTTCTAAATCCGCAGAGGATTCATATTGGATTGACTGAATCCTAGAGCTAGCTGGCAGATTCCTCCCCGCCCCTCAACCAAGGCTATGATAAAGTCTGGAGATAGAACTCCTTTGGGTACAGGCCCAGGAGGGCAAGTCAGGTGGGCATGTCTGCTCGTGTGTGATCCTCACATTGCCTTCTTGATCACCTGAGTCACTCGGAGAGTGGCCAGGATGACCATGGGGCCATTCATCCTCCTTGAGGCATTGATGGAGGTGACAAGATTAGCATTAGGGTAGGGGCTTTTATTTCTGCCTGCAGAAGTTGGAAGAAAAGGCATGAACCCATGATTTCAGATAAGAGACCATTTACTACCTTATTTGACTTTCATTGTTTTGAGAAGCAGATTAGTTTGAATTACTGGGGAATATATATATATGCAGTTGGAAATCTGTCAAGTACACTCTGTAAATGGATCCAGGCTAACAGAGTGTTCTGAACAGAGATGCCCAGAACAAATAATTATGATTTGTTATCAATGCATCATCACTTTATGGTGTGTGACTATTTCTCCTAAGAATGTAATGTGTACTCACTATAATTTTGGTTGTTTTTTTTAATTAGCAACCCTTTATTTTAATTTAAATTTTATTTATTTATTTGTCAGAGAGAGAGAGAGAGAACAAGCACAAGCCGGGAGAGCAGCAGGCAGAGGGAGAAGCAGGCTCCCCGAGGAGCAAGGAGCCTGATGCAGGACTCGATTCCAGGACCCTGGGATCATAACCTGAGCCGAAGGCAGATGCTTAACCGACTGAGCCACCCAAGCCTCCCAGCAACCCTTTTCAATACAGATGGAATCAGAGTAAATTTCACTCTAGACCTATTTCCCAAACTGTCAGCATTATTGACGCCCCTATTTTTACTGGATTAGTGTCATCAGATCAAGGCTTATAGACATCCCAAAGGCAAGGGGGTGATGCGCTACACACTCGATGGGTGAGAACAGATGATGCCAGTTGCTGAGACCAAACCCGGTGAGAAATGACATCTGAACTACCCTAGTATTGGTTATTGGCTGGCCAGCATCTCACCTGCTATAAATTGACATTCATTTGTTTATGTCTTTATTGTTGTCATTTCCCCCACTAGAGCATGAAGTCTCAGGGCCGAGCACAATGCTGGGCTTGCAGAAGGGGCTCAAAATTGAATTAGCGAAATGAATGAATGAACGAACGAATGGGATGCTCCTCCAAACCTTGGTCTTTTTCTGAGTTTAGTTTAATGTGAATTGGAGTCTGATCCCTATGACGGACCTGATTCCAGGGTAGAAACTGGAAGCTCAGCTCTTCTGATCTAGCCCAGTTTCACCTTTGTCTTTCTTATGAACTACCATCTCTGAGTCAGCCTGGAATTTCCCCCGCTTACTTTTTCTTCCTGCAGGAGGCAAAGGCCACAGCCCTGGAGAGCGTGAGCAGTTCAGCTCCTCAGGTAGTGGCTCTCAATCCTGTCAGGCAGCACATGAAAATAACTGGGGGAGCTTAAAACGTATTGACTAGCCCATCTCCACCCCTTTCAAGGTCCAATTGGTATGAGGGTGGGTCTGGGCAGCAGTATTCGTTAAAGACGTCTCCTGTGCAGCCAGAATTGAGAACCGCTGGAGTGGCGCGTCTTGAAGTTATGTTGGTATCAAACATCCGGATGGCCAACAGACACATGAAAAGATACTGAACATCACTCATCGTCAGGGAAATGCAAATCAACACCAAATGAGATATTACCTCACACCTGTCAGAATGGCTAGTATCAAAAAGACAAGAAATCAGTGTTGGTGAGGATGTGGAGAAAGGGGGAACCCTCGTGCCCTGTTGGTGGGAATGCACACTGGTGCAGCCACTGTGGAGAACAGTATGGAGGTTCCTCAGAAAGTTAGAAATACCATATGACCCAGTAATTCCACTTCTAGGTATTCACCCGAAGAAAACAAAAACGCTCATTTGAAAAGATATGTGCACCCCTATGTTTATTGCAGCATTATGATAGCCAAGGTAGGGAAGCAACCCAAGTGTCCATCGAGAGATGAATGGATAAAGAAAATGTGGTATAGGGGTGCCTGCTTGGCTCAGTCAGTGAAGCGTCCAACTCTGGATTTTGGCTCAGGTCATGATCTGGGGGTCATGGGATCAAGCCCCACGTTGGGCTCCATGCTCATCGGGGAATCTGCTTGAGATTCTCTCCCTCTCCTTCTGCCCCCCACCAAGCGATCTCTTTCTCTTTCTCTCTCTCAAATAAATAAATCTTTAAAAAAAAGATGTGGTATCTGTACACAATGGACTATCACTCAGCCATAAAAAGAGAATGAGATCTTGTCATTGCCATCATCATGGATGAACTTAGGGGTAACTATGCTAAGTGAGATAAGTCAGACAGAGGAAGACAAGTGCCATATGATTTCATTTATATGTGAAATCTAAAATAAAAAACAAGACAGACAAAACAGAAACAGACTCATAAATACAGAGAACAAACTGGTGGTTGCTAGAGGGGAAAGGGTGGGGAATAGACAAAATAGGTGAAGGGGATTAAGAGGCCCAAAGTTATAAAATTACTAAGTCACAGGGATGAAAAGAACAGCATAGGAAATACAGTCAGTGATATTGTAATAACTTTGTATGGTGACAGATGGTGACCATACTTACCATGGTGAGCATTTCATAAAGTATGTAAATATCGAATCACTATGTTGTACACCTGAAACTAATATAATATTGTATGTCAACTATATGTCAATTAAAAATTGAAAGAAAAGAGAAGACATTGTGAGGATCAGAATCATCTAGGGGGCTGTTAGGCACCTGTTGTTCCGTCTCTCCCTAGGTTCTTCTTCTTTTTTTTTTTTTTAAAGGTTTTATTTATTTATTTGTCAGAGAGAGAGAGAGAGAGAGAGAGCACAAGCAGGGGGAGAGGAAGGCAGAAGGAGCCCGATGCGGGACTCGATCCCAGGATTCTGGGATCATGACCTGAGCCGAAGGCAGACGCTTAACTGACTGAGCCCCCCAGGCGCCCCCCTAGATTCTGATTTCTAGTCTGAGGTGATGGTTCAGAACGTGCGTTTTCTGCCAGGCCCCCTGGACGTGCTGCTGCTGTCAGCCTGGGCCACACTTGGAGAATGGCTGCCCCGGGACTGTGGCCCGTCCGCCCCTGATTCTCCCAGACGCAGAGCTTCCCGCTTCCCGCCCGAGCCGGGCCGGTGCTTCCTCCCTCCAGCCGCCGCACTCGCTCGGCCCGCCGCACTGGCCTGCCCTTTGCGGACAGGGCGCAGAAAACAATTAAAAAAAAAAAATCTACTCTTTTCGACCCAAAGGAGATTGGCATGCTTGGAAAGGCGTTTGACCTGAGGGGGACCTGGAGCGCCCTGCATGGGGACCAAGCGCCTGGAAGCGGACACACTCAGAGGGGGTTGGGCTGCGGGCTCTGGATGGGGCGGGGCGTTCCGGGGAGGCGTGCTTGCGGCTGAGTGCGGTGCTACCTCTAGGAATGGGCGAGCCCTTGAGGGGTCAGCAAGGCCTGGGCGTCAGAGCCTCAGAGTACAGCCATGGCTAAGAAAAGTCACGGCTAATACAGGGCAATTGTTGGCCCTGAGCTGGGCAGACAGAGCAATGGGGTTCCCTGCGGATTCGTGTTGAAGTGACTCTAAAAACACAGTCTAGTGCATAAAAGTCACCTCGGCGTGTAACTGCCCGTAGCCGCTCACTCCACCAGCCTCTCGTAGGCCAGGTTAGGGCGTGAGGCCGGCATCCCCCGTCCCTGTCCGGCGTCTCCCTCGGCCGCAGGTTGTGGCCCCAGGCTAGCTGCAGCCGCGTGACGTCACTGCCACAGGCCCACGGGGCAGAGGCAGTGGCCTCAGAAGCGCCGGGCGAAGCAGGACCACGTGTGACCACTCTGCGTGTCATTTCCTGGGGAAGCCGGAGCGCCAGCCTGTGACAGGACTCGGATGAACGTGGATTCTCCCCTGTGATGAACGTCAGTTGAGGCCCTCGTTGCAGCCGCCCAAGCCCGCTGAGCGAGCACAAGCGCTGAGCCTGCTCGTGACTCCCTGCCCCGGGGGCCAGGAGTGTCAGAGGGCTGGGTGTCACCGGCGGGGGGGTGGTTACTGTGAGGCTGTGTGTTATATAACGTGATACACAGATGAGAAGGTCATGGGTGCATTTGGAGACCCGCAGGGTGAGTCAGTCCCCGTCACTGCTTTCCAGAAGTGTGGGGCTTGGCTGTCAGCTGAACAAAGCAAAATGTTCGATAGGTTACTGAGAGCTGATTAGAAGGCAGAGAGAGGTCTCCTGATTCATGACAAGAGCTGCCCAGAAACTGGCAGCTATTAGGGCAGCTGGGGTGATACTCCAGCAGGCGGTTCGGGGCTGCGGGGGTGTGAGTGACCAGAAAGGCCGTGTGACCCAAGACTTGCAGTCACCTAAGGCCAGGGAGGATGACGTGGAAGTTGTGTCTCCCAGTGAGTTCCATATATTGCCTTTGAGGTTTGTGTGAGTCCTCCAGCACTTATTTTTTTAAAAATGTAAACACTTCATACATACTGATGATGCCTGTTACTCAGTTTGGGCCTGGGTCTTTGAGCTTTAATATACTGAGAGCTTCTTTTGAAGTTTTTCAGATTTGTTGCAGGGTCTCTCTCCTTGCCCGCTGGAGCCGGGCCAGGCACCAGAAGTAGTGATTATTGGTTACGCCGGGCTGTGGGAGGCTGGCCTGGCCCTGGGGAAGCTAGGATAAAGGGTTGTGCTTCACTAAAGAGAACCCCAACCCCGCAAACCCAACACACACACACACACACACACACACACACACACACCCCTAAAAGTCCTAGCATAGAGACCATTTTTAAACCACCTTTCTTGTGAATGTAAAGGCAATTTGGTAAGTCTTGTAACAGGAGTGAAGGGAGTCAATGAGGAGAAGAGCAAGCTTCTGGGGTCAGTGGGCAGTGGGAGGCCTGGAGGCAGGAAATATGAGGAGGTGGTGCTGGGTGGCCCCCGAGAGGTGGGTGGACCGCTGAGGGTGGGCTCTGGTGGTAGGTTCTGGTTGGGATCCCAAAGTTGCTGTCTGATGGTTTTTCCACCGCCCCCTGCTTCTAAGCCCGGTGGGGGTAAATCCACACCAGCTCTCGTCCTGGCGAGCCCAGCAGCTGGCCGTGCCTTGAAGGCTTCGGTCTGGAGCCCTGCTTTGGCAAGGGGCAGAAAAGCAGCACACCAGGTGTCCAGGAGGGCAGCGTCTCTCTGCCCCAGGTGCGTCAGGACGGTGTTGTGCCTGGTCGTGTCGGTGGGATCACGATTTGGGTTCTTCTCTTTCCGTCTAGACCTGACCAGAAAACAACCTGGACCACTGGCAGGCCAAGTCCTGCCTACTCTTGCTGGGGGGCCTTGAGCTGACTCTCGCACATGGATGAGCATTGCATGGCTTATTATAGAGATTGGATATCATAAGGAAATTGTCCCTCTTTCTGGTTCTAAAGAAAATAAATTTTTGTTCACCCCTCCCATAGAGCGGAGAAATGGCTCTCTCTCTGTGAGGAGCCCGTCAGTGCTCTGGATGGAGGGCTTCTAGGTTTTCCTCCTGGGCAGGCCACGTCCCCGGCACTGGTGTGTCTTGGGCCCAGAAGGTGGAAGGGCAAGGCAGGAAGCAGGGGCATCCATTAAGTGCAGGGGAGACACTGGGCCTCAAGTCAGAGCAGGTGGGGCCTGCCTGGTGCCTCTGGAACCTCACCGCAGGGCAGGGCTTGGCTGTGTGGCTGCAGGAACAGGGGAGTGGAGGGCTGGAGGGCTCTGGATTGGGTCTGGGCATCATTGAAAAAGAGAGTTAGCCTGAAATGGGACTGGTGTCCGGCTCCCCTCCCCCCATGCTCTGGGCCCTGCGAGCAGGTTGCAGGGAGAGTGGGCACATTCTCGTCCCTTGCAAGGGTCTCTCTGGAAAGCAAGGTGGGGAGAAGGAAGCAGAAGGGGCGGTTTACAAGAAAAAGCCTTTCCAAAAC